TCTGTTTCCTGTCTACTTCTGTAGCGAGTGTGTGTAATAGGTCATGCAGCAGTGCCTGTGCTTGCGTAAGGGTCTCCAGTCATTGTTTATGCACTCAGTAAATGTGTGTGTATCAGTACTAACACTAACGTCTGATGTGTTGTGTTCAGGCATGGCACGAGGTGCGCTGGTGAAGTAGCGGCGTCCGCCAACAACTCGCACTGCACAGTGGGCATCGCTTACAATGCCAAGATTGGGGGTGAGTGTGGCTGACGGTCACTGTCTGATTTGGACCTACTGCTGTACCTGGGAATTCTGCCTTTTGTTCGTACTCGCGCACATACAGTAAATGCAGTACCCCCGATGTGAATTTTAGTGACTAAAAATGTTACATTAAATAAACCTCACACACACACACACACATATATATATATATATAGGGCTGCACGATAAATCGCATGCGATATTTAATGCGCATCTTGTCAGAAAGCCGGTTCTGTAATCAGCGGTAAATCTCCATCACGTGCGTGCTTTCACATGGAGCAGCATTAACTACACAGAGCTGTTGTTCACTGACGAGCTGCGCAAAACCACGTTCATATTCGCGCGATTTTTTGCGCAGCTCGTCAGTGAACAACGGCTCTGTGTAGTTAATGCTGCTCCATGTGAAAGCACGCACGTGATGGAGATTTACTGCTGATTACAGAACCGGCTTTCTGACAAGATGCGCATTAAATATCGCATGCGATTTATCGTGCAGCCCTATATATATATATATATAGGGCTGCACGATAAATCGCATGCGATATTTAATGCGCATCTTGTCAGAAAGCCGGTTCTGTAATCAGCGGTAAATCTCCATCACGTGCGTGCTTTCACATGGAGCAGCATTAACTACACAGAGCTGTTGTTCACTGACGAGCTGCGCAAAACCACGTTCATATTCGCGCGATTTTTTGCGCAGCTCGTCAGTGAACAACGGCTCTGTGTAGTTAATGCTGCTCCATGTGAAAGCACGCACGTGATGGAGATTTACTGCTGATTACAGAACCGGCTTTCTGACAAGATGCGCATTAAATATCGCATGCGATTTATCGTGCAGCCCTATATATATATATATATAGGGCTGCACGATAAATCGCATGCGATATTTAATGCGCATCTTGTCAGAAAGCCGGTTCTGTAATCAGCGGTAAATCTCCATCACGTGCGTGCTTTCACATGGAGCAGCATTAACTACACAGAGCTGTTGTTCACTGACGAGCTGCGCAAAACCACGTTCATATTCGCGCGATTTTTTGCGCAGCTCGTCAGTGAACAACGGCTCTGTGTAGTTAATGCTGCTCCATGTGAAAGCACGCACGTGATGGAGATTTACTGCTGATTACAGAACCGGCTTTCTGACAAGATGCGCATTAAATATCGCATGCGATTTATCGTGCAGCCCTATATATATATATATATAGGGCTGCACGATAAATCGCATGCGATATTTAATGCGCATCTTGTCAGAAAGCCGGTTCTGTAATCAGCGGTAAATCTCCATCACGTGCGTGCTTTCACATGGAGCAGCATTAACTACACAGAGCTGTTGTTCACTGACGAGCTGCGCAAAACCACGTTCATATTCGCGCGATTTTTTGCGCAGCTCGTCAGTGAACAACGGCTCTGTGTAGTTAATGCTGCTCCATGTGAAAGCACGCACGTGATGGAGATTTACTGCTGATTACAGAACCGGCTTTCTGACAAGATGCGCATTAAATATCGCATGCGATTTATCGTGCAGCCCTATATATATATATATATGAGGCTCTTCAAAGTCGCTACCCATCAACTAGATTACAGTCTTGCGCACTATTCAACTCATCCATTTAATAATAATTTAGTAATTATTAATAGTAAAGTTTTGTGACGAAATTCATACATGGGCACAATTTATTTTTAAATAAAATTATTCATGCAAAAGGCTTTAGATAGAAAGTGAAATATTTCTTTTGATTTCTTAAGTTAAGTGTATCCAGATTTTGACTGGTAGTAAACACATCTCTTCTGCTGGATGTTGCCATTTGGAATCACTCAGATAAGTAGTAGAATAAACACTGTAAAAGTGGGATTTAATATTTCTAATATTCTGCTGATTTTCTATATTCATCTGCATGACTGAAAACCTACACAGACGTCTTTTACAGATTATGGTCAATATTTTGGAAGTCATCACAATTAATTTTGGTCCTTTTTAGTTTTTTACAAGTTGGGACTTTTGCCATTTTTTTTTTTTCAAGACGTAATGCCAATTAAAAAATATAACAGCTTGTATAAACTTATCTTGATACACCTATATTCTGTTTAGCTGTTTATGAATGTAAGAAAACATCATATTCAGTACTATTCAGAAGTTTGGGGTTGGTAAGATTTTCAGATTTTCACCAAAACTGCATTTATTTGACCAAAACTACAGTAAAAACAGTAATACTGTGAAATATCATTGCAATTTAAAATAACTGTTTTTCTATTTTAATATACTTTAAAATGCGATTTATTCCTGTGATGCAAAGCTGAATTTTCAGCATCATTACTCCAGTCTTCAGTGTCACATGACCCTTCAGAAATTATTTTAACATTTCTTATTATTAATGTTTAAAACAGTTCAACATCCACATAATATGTTTGTGAAAACTGTGATGCGTTTGTTCACGATTCTTTGATGAGTAGAAAGTTCAAACTAGCAGCATTTATTTGAAATGAAATCTTTTGTAACATTATGAAAGTCTTTACTGTAACTTTTGATAATTTTAATGCATCCTTGCTGAAAAAAAAAATCAGAATCCTGACTTTTGAACAGGAGTATATATACACGCCCTCTAATACATCCAAGCCGAATTATTCAGGCTTCCTTAAGATCGATCAGTTGACTAGTCATTTAGGCAACATTCCTCCGACTAATTAATTTTGGAAATGTGTGGTTTTGCACGTCTGTTGGACATCATTGGCATGCTGATCTTCAGTGTCTCGCAGATGTTTTCCCTGCTGAGGTTTTCTTTGGGCTTGTCCTGCAGGTGTCCGCATGTTGGACGGAGATGTGACAGACATGGTAGAGGCCAAATCACTGAGTCTACACCCTCAACACATAGATATTTACAGTGCCAGCTGGGGTCCAGATGATGATGGCAAAACCGTGGATGGGCCCGCTTCCCTCGCCAGACAGGCCTTTGAAAATGGCATCAGACAGGTAAGAACCATCTCAGCATGTATAGAAGTATTTTTCAAGTTTATATGAAAAGTGTGTTATGTTTTTCCCTTTTTCCATATGATGTGGCGTTCATAAATCATAAGTGTAATTTTCAGGTCATCAGTCACGTCTCCCCAGCAGTCTGGCCCACCTAGGGTGTTTTCCTTTCCTTCTCACACTCACCACCTGCTACGCCAGTGAACTTTAGAACGTGATTTTAGTTTATCTTCCCTGAGTCATGAGTCGCAGTCAGTAATTGGCATGTATCCTGTGCCAAAGGTGTGTTTGGAGTGGTTTAGGCATGTTTCAGGTATGTGAGACTCATAGACATCAGGTGATACTGGTCTCCTCTCATCAGAAAAGGCTGGAGGATATTAATGCTTGGCGATTATGCTGTCCTGATGATGTTAGTTCCTGCTTTGAAGTGTTTCAAGGGCTGTCAATAAGTTAAAAAAGTTTCTATTTATTTGTTTGTGGACTTATTTATTTGTTTGTTTGGAATTGAGACAAATTCTCATTACCGTAATGCATCTGGATGATGTTTGTTTGTAAATTACTCTCAATGATTCGTCATCCTGTCTGGAAACAGTGAACTTTTTGAATATTTTTTAAAATTAAATTAAATTAAATTAATATAGTTAATCTGAACCAACCGTGTTGTTAAAACTATTACATGTTTTGTTTTCATTTTTTGAAATAAAATAGGAATTAAAACTTAAACCATTTAAACTTATTTTATTTTGTTTAGTTGCCAAAGCAACATTTGACATTTAAGTACTAAAAAACTAGAAATAGAAATATAAAAAATAAAAATCAATTACTAAAATTTAAAGTACAATTAAAATGAACATTGAAAATATATAGTTATTAAAATATGTATTTATTAAAATATATGAATTTAAAATAATAATAAAAGTATATAAAAATACCACAATAACACTAAGACTGGGACATATAAATGTTCAACAGTTTAATTGATATAAAATCTCTTTGTTGGTTGCAGTAATGGGATTTGGGAAGGGAAGGAAAATTGGTTTAATTTTGTGATGAAAATTTCATAATGCAAAAATTTTCCTAAAAAATTATATACAGGTGCATCTCAATAAATTAGAATGTCGTGGAAAAGTTAATTTATTTCAGTAATTCAACTCAAATTGTGAAACTCGTGTATTAAATAAATTCAATGCACACAGACTGAAGTAGTTGAAGTCTTTGGTTCTTTTAATTGTGATGATTTTGGCTCACATTTAACAAAAACCCACCAATTAACTATCTCAACAAATTAGAATACTTCATAAGACAATAAAAAAAACATTTTTGGTGAATTGTTGGCCTTCTGGAAAGTATGTTCATTTACTGTACATGTCACAATTAAAAGAACCAAAGACTTCAACTACTTCAGTCTGTGTGCATTGAATTTATTTAATACACGAGTTTCACAATTTGAGTTGAATTACTGAAATAAATGAACTTTTCCACGACATTCTAAATTATTGAGATGCACCTGTACGAGATAATATATGCATATGTAATGTGTGTGTATGTGTGTACAGTTTTTTTCTATACTGGTGGGGACTTAAACCTGAATACACACCAACTCATGGGGACTTGTGTCACCGTGGGGACCTAAATTGAGTTCCCCATGGGTACAGAAGCTTATAAATCACATTTATTTAGTTATTTATTTATTTGTAATTTCAGTCAAATTTACATTTGCAGCCACGATCACCACTGTTCCCTTGAGCATAAACTCTAGGTTGCTCCTGGAGGGATGTTTCTGTAACAAGTGTACTGTAAATAGTCATTTTTAAAAAGCACATATTTCATTGTAAACAGAACGTGTTCACTTATGTTTCAGATTTTTCTTCACAGGGCAGGAAAGGACGGGGTTCAATCTTTGTTTGGGCGTCAGGAAATGGCGGTCGGAGTCGCGATCACTGTTCATGTGACGGCTACACCAACAGCATCTACACGATATCCATCAGCAGCACGGCAGAGAGCGGCCGCAAGCCCTGGTATCTGGAAGAGTGCGCCTCCACCCTCACCACCACCTACAGCAGCGGAGAGAACTACGACCGCAAAATCGTAAGAAGAGATGTAAATCTAGATCTTCAGCACTGAGTAAACTTGCTTTTCATAAAACAGGCCTGCTGCTGAATTGGCTTTAAAGCCACCACGTTTCTAGTTTAAAGGGAAAGCTCAGCCAAAAATGAGAAATCTTTTATCATTTACTCACACACATGTCGTACCAAACCTGTATGAGTTTTTTTCTTCTGCTGAATTAAAAGAAGATATTTTGAATAATGTTTGTAATAAAACAGTTGACGGTAGCCATTGACTTCCATAGTATGGAAAAAAATAGAATGGAATTCAATGGCTACTGTCAACTGTTTGATTACAAACATTATTCAGAATATCTTCTTTTGTGTTCAACAGAAGAAAGAAACTCATAAAGGTTTGGAACAACTTAAGGGTGCATAAATGATGACAGATTTCACATTTTTGGTAAAAATATATACCTTTTAATAGAATTAAACCTCATTCTAATGAGGAAGAATTATGTTGTAAATACAAAAGAATGCGTTTTAGTCAAGGCATTTCATTCTTCAAAACATATGGGTTTGGAATGACATAATGATGAGTAAATAATGACAGAATTTTAATTTCTGGGCTTTTAGCTTAAGACTTTTTTGTTGTTGTTTCGAAATGGTTGGAAACTTGATATTAATCTGTGCTTAAATTGAGCTGAAGGAAGCATATTTACTCGTTTGAATATTTATGGAAACCGTTTGGAAGTTAAACGCCAGTAAACTGCAAAATATCTTCGAAAGTAGAGATGCCTCTTGCATAATTTTTTCAATTTATTGCCATTTAAATGCGTCTAATAATGCATTTTCATGCGTTTCTTTGGCCACACATGTGTTTGATCTGCTTTTGTTGGTCACTGTGTCATGAGAGCGTCCTGGTGTTAACCGCTGCGGTTTACAGCCCACACACAGTTTTACACACTCCTCTGAGAGTTACAGAACGTCAGAGCTTCCCTGTCTCTCAGCTTGTCTCAGAGTGACGTGTGAAATTCCACACTGGCTTTCAATCTCCTTTTGCAATACATGTTTACATTCTGAAGCCCAGTGTTACAGACATTAGCACTTCTCTTTGTTGTGATCTCTTGCAGTTTTCAGGTAGTACAGCTGTACTTATATTTACATAGGTTTATTATCTACCCATCCAGGGTTATTGTCATAAATACTAGCAGTGAAAATATTTTAGCCAACTGTACTGTGAATAAAGTTTTGAAGGCAAAAAAGGTTGACTGTCTATAATTCGTAGAGATGTATGAAGCACAGCTCACACAGAAGTCAGTTTCACACCAAGCAGCTTTCTGTTGGTCAACATGGTGTATTCATGTGATGAACTTGAACTTGAATCAAATTACAGAGAAAAATACTTACAATTTTGTATGTTTAAAAACTTTTTATGCTCTTTGGCCGTTCATTTATACAACAGCAGTGTTTTGGGGGCTTGAAAATGCAAACTTTTAAAAACTGGTTTCAACATGCAAGTGTTTTTAATTGTCTTTGTGTAAACTACAAAAACGTGAAGTTTTGAAAACGGTGACATCTTGTGCATGCATATTACGTGTTCAGTATATAGGTATGAGCGCAGGCGCATAGTGTTTCTTTACAAAGTGATATCGCCAACTACAGGCCTGGCATGCATAATATAGCGTTATTCAATGTTGACGTAATTTTAACTGAAATAGGAAGTCAGGGTGGGACATATCAAGCAGCTCCGCCCCTTTTTTTAAATAGCCTGTTGCGTTTTATTTAAATCACAGCTCAGCCAAAGCCATCGCTTGAGCTCGGTAAAGCTGCATTTTACAGTTTATGACAGCCACCGTCTAATAGATTACTATTAGGGTATGCTTTGGATTCTAGAGAGCATTTGATTGGACAGAAAATCTGATGAGAAGCTGAAGTGCAGGGTGATGTCATCAAAATCGTTAATCCATATTGGCGGAAGTGAGAGACGGTAGCTGTGTCCCAAATGACACACTATACTCTATGCACTTATACACTATTCACTTATGCACTATGTACTCAATCATGTAGAGTGTGAATTATATAATTCACCAGACTCTGATTATTAATTTTGTCATTAATAATTGGAGTCTGGTAGCCCCTCCCCCTTCGCTACATAATTAAAGCTGTGACAGCTGAGTGCATGAAGTGTCCAACATTCCACACTTCATTTTTTTTCTGTTATTTAAGTGCATCATCCGGGTATTTAAAGTGCACTTTTTCTTATTGGAATTTTCAGTGTGAACGCACTACTCACACTATTTATAGACCTACAAAACAGCATAGAATAGTGCATAAGTACGCGATTTGGGATGCATCTTGTAAGATTTGAATGCTTATATCTTCTAAATGCATATTTTGTTATTGTTTTGGAGCACACTAGCTTATAGGTAACCTTAAGGTTAACATATTCATACTAAAAGCCAAAAAACTTTGATTTTGATTTCATGGGGACTTTAAGACTTCTGATCTGATCAGATCTTGTGCGAAAAAATAAAACATCTATCCAGTTAGACAGGAAGGGGGTGTTGACTTATAAAAAAAAAAAAAAACAGCCACACTTTGTTTTTTGTGTATGTGACGTTTAGAGCAGAGTAAATCCGAAATCCGTCACGCAGATGTCTCACAGCTGAAATTAGAGTCTTATTAGTTGATCCAAATGGCCTTAAACTAAACTCTTGAATATATTTCAAAGATTTTATTGCATGAAACTTAAAACGGATGCTGACACAGTATCTGAGTGGATCCAGTCCATGCTGCTGAATCACAAATGCCCCAAAGTGGTGGTAATTTCCAGCTAAGTGTAGCACAATGGCACATTTATAGCACGTTTCATTGTCAGTAAGTACTGCAGTTTGCTGAAGTGCATTTAACAAATAAAAATTAAACTTTGGCAATATTTCTTTTTGAGTTAAGTTTAGTATGTGTGATTAAAGCAGCAGATGGAACAATTTGTGGCCCTGTGTGAGACGGGATGAAAATGAATACACTATATAAATCTAAACCATGCATGCTAAAATCGTAAAATAGTCATTTTCAAAAAAGCAAATGAAAAATAAATAAAGTTAACTAAAACTAAACTCAAATAACAAAATACAAAAAAGCAATGCAACAAAACTAGAACACACTTGTTAAAATAAACAAAGCTGTCTATCACATACTCGCAGTGGAGACAGTGTTGTGTATTATAACAGGAGCGGTCAAGTATTGTTACTTCACGTCATGTTGCTCACTTGCAGTGTCAATACACATTCACTTTGTTTACCGATTAACACATGGAAACACCATGCACAAGAATAACCTGAATTTCTTTGTCTCTCTTGTTAGATCACAACCGATCTAAGGCAGCGCTGCACAGACAGTCACACTGGAACATCAGCGTCAGCGCCGATGGCAGCAGGGATCATAGCTCTTGCTCTGGAAGCAAAGTAAGTGGAAGCAAACTACTGTATGCTCTCATTTCTCTAACAGCTGTTTAGTGGAAGTGTCTGTTCCAGGCCACTTCAGTGGAATTGGCACCACTAATTTAGCCACTAATCATGAAGGTGTTATGCTTTTCACACTCTCACTGACCCTCTGAATTAAAGGGATAGTTCACCCAAAAATTAACATTCTGTCATCATTTCCTCACCCTCCACTTGATAAAGACCTATATGAGTTTCTTACTTCTGAACACAAAAGAAGATATTTTGAAGAATGAGGGTAACCAAACAGTTAACCTTAGCCATTGACTTCTATAGTACTATGGAAGTCACTGGCTACAGTCAGCTGTTTGGTTACCAACATTTTTCAAAATTTGTGTTCAACAGAAGAAATAAACTCATACAGGTTACACAAAAACAGTGACTGAAACAGTGACTTTTAATTAACGCTTCTGATGTGTTTTGACTGTGTGCATTTAAGACCTTCTGGGAAATTTGTATTTATGAATTGGGAAGTCATAATTATGACGTCAGGTGCATTCAAGTCACTTTGGCTGGAGCAAGATGGCAGATACATTTCTCCAGCAATGTTTTTAACTACTTCTAAAAAATAATGAATAAAAATGTGCATTGAGTGCCTTTTTTCTCACTTTTTAGTTTTTATTAAATTTATGAAGGTGCTGTAAAATGGATCGCCATATATTCTGTTATAATTGTGCAATACTATCATATTTTGGACATGCTATTTAGCTATTTTTGGAAAGAAAAAGTATAGAATTTATATATAAAATTAAACCATAAAAAAAGACGCCACATTTATTGCATCTACCATGTTTCCTCGCTGATACGCTTCTGACTCAAAGATAAGCCTGACTTTCCCACTCGTCAATATGACATTGTGGTGTCTTTCAAATCATAAACATGGTCTTTCCCACATGGCTTAAATGCACCAAGTGTCTATTTTGTGCACACAATAAGGATAAGCTACAACAGGTAAACAAGTCAGCAGTGTGGGTGTACTTGACCTTGACCAAAAATGATGCAATATGTTAAATTTGAATGTTGAAACCCTGACCCCTTTAAAATGCTGGAATTCTGAACGCCGTGTAGCGAGCGGCTTGATTCCTGTAAGTTTCAACTGTGTCTGATTTCACACAGGAAATTGAGCAGAACCTTGACATATGGCTGCCATGTGACTGTATATTCCCAGCACAATGCAGCGAACCAAACAGAGTTAGATTGTTTCGATATTTCAGGGGGATAGTCGGGGACACATGGCATCCATCTCTCTTTGGTTTGATGTTTGATCCCACTGTGCATGGTGAATTATGGGAGCGAACGCTTCAACCAGACATCCAGGCAATGAGACTTTGTGAACTACAGCTGAAAACTGTGGCCAGTGTGATTGTTTGAATTATAATAATTGGGTTTGGAGGTATTGAATCCAGTTTGGGGATATTATTTAGTCACGCAATTGGTCACATAGTCACAAATGTCCATTAATCTTATTTTTGACTCTCTGTTGCAGTCCTTTCCTGACGTGGCGAGATGTACAACATATAATAGTGAAGACATCTCGTGCTGGCCATCTCAGCGCTCCTGACTGGAAAACCAATGCCGCTGGTTATAACGGTAACAGGCTTTTTAATTTCTTTAAACTGCCCTGTCTCGTTTTAACCACCAGATGGGAAGTGATGCTTGTGAGAAACTTCATACCCAGAAATATTCAGACGTTGATTTCATTATTGTACGCTCAGTCTTTTGGGTTTTCCAGACTAAGGGTGGGTGATATGACCAAAATCTTATATGACGATATGACAAATTTGTGTTTTAAATAAGGTTTTTATGAAAGCAAAAATGTTAAATTCTTTTTAATTTCATAATTAACATAATCGATTTCAGTATCACAAAAATCTAATACTAGCCTAACAAAAAAAAAACTCTCAAGCTTACTGAAGACAAGTAAACAATTTGTGATAAAACAAGAACAAAGAAACTAATTACATGCAACAGGACAAAAAACTGCAACAGAACAAAGGCTCAAATGTAATAGACCTATGTGAAATAACTACTTAAAATCTGTTATCTTCACTTGTGTAAATTAAATATAGATTTATTCCTATTAAAGTTACAAAAGTGATTCAGTTGAGAGCAGCGAGAGATTACTCTCTTTTGTTGTTTGATTAACATTAATGACACAGACAGCAGCAGGTTTATTAGGCTGCTGTCACTTTAAGACTGAATGCACGGCTCTAATATAGTGATACACATGCATTTTTTTTTCTCAACTGTTTAGGTTCACTTAAGACATAAATGACTGTATTTATGAGGATACTCTCAAAGATGGGCATTTTGAAACGTAAGTGTGTGTATTTGACCGTTCAAGCCCAATAAGGTGCCAGAAAGTACTCCGTTCAGTACTTGTGTGCTGTGTGAGAGGCAGCTTTATGTACGCGCGCTTCAGGTGAGTGCGCTCAGACCGTCTCTCTGGCAGTGCTCACATATACCAAAATTTTGCTGCTTCTTGTGCTCCGAGGGTTTAAAATCGCTTGTTTTTTAAACCGCAGCTCTTAAAAACGCATTCAAATGACAAGCTTTCATGATGGCGCAGTGACGTCACGTGAGCATAACCGTGATAGAGACGATAGTTCACCCCTATTCCAGACTATGCTGAACAATTAATTTTACAACATGAATATACATCAGGGTTATTATAGTAAACTAAAACCATAAAAAAGTGTCATTACTTGAAATATGATAAACATTAACTTAAAATAAAATGGAAAAAAATTCAATATAAAAAACAAATGTTTTATCAAGTTGGCAAGGCGTCGTTTCTCATTTTCATTTAGTTTAACAATGTACTAAAATAACCAAAATTAAAACTATAATAATAAAATTGTAAAAAATTAATGAAATCTATACAGACAAAAAACTAATAAAAATTGCAAAAACACACAACAAAATTTCTAAAAATGGAGAGGAAAATATAAAATATAATATAATAATAAAAACTAATAGCGTTTCAATGATACTAAAATAGCCCTGATCTGCATCATGATTGATGGTAATTTTGGTGTTCATGGTAACTCTTAATCTGTGTGCATATTGTTATTTTTTTTGTTGAACAGTTAAGTTGTAAATATTCTTACAGTCAGTCACCTGTATGGCTTTGGGTTGATGGACGCGGAGGCCATGGTGAAAGAGGCAGAGCGCTGGAAACAGGTTCCCCCACAGCACATCTGTGTGGAGAATGCCGATAAACAAATCAGGTATATGCAATAGCTCTTAAACATCCCACAGTAGGTCACATTTATAATGTTATATAAGTCATAGTAAATGTACATTTGTTTCCCGTAGAACCATCCGTCCAGAACATGTCGTTCGTTCGGTGTACAAGGCAACAGGCTGCACGGATAATGCAAACCATCATGTTATTTATCTGGAGCATGTGGTCGTACGTATAACAATTACACACCCACGGCGAGGAGACCTGTCAATCAACCTAACGTCACCATCAGGGACAAAGTCACAGCTGCTCGCCAACAGGTACAGTTACAGACTATGCACTAATCTTCAGTAAATGGCTACTTTGATAGAATTACTGAATGTTGTGGTTTGTTCTTTCTCCCTGGTGAATTTCAGTGGAAGAATTCCCAGATTTCCACTGAATTGGTCCAGTATTTTTAAGTGCATTTTGTGCTGTGGTGTAGCATCTGTTTATTGTTACTGCAGGCTGTTTGATCACTCAATGGAGGGCTTTAAGAACTGGGAATTCATGACAACTCACTGCTGGGGAGAGAAAGCTGCTGGAGACTGGATACTAGAGATCCATGACTCTCCTTCCCAACTCAGGAGCCAGAAAGCACCAGGTACTTTCTCCAAACACTACCTTTTCCTTCAGCCATTCCTTCACCTTTGAAAACACCACATGGTCTTACACAGAGGTGATTTGACAAATGCATATCAACTTAGGCTGTGTGGTAACTACCACAGTACCAACATTTATTGCGGTGATTACAGTTTAACAGTTCAGGTAGTGTGACCTGAAAAATAAAACTTAATTAACTGATGTGTGAGATTTAAGTTGAACCGAGTTAAATAATTTTTTTTTTGTCAAAATTGGCAATCGTCCATTGACAATAATGCAGGCGGAATATCGAACTGGATGTGACGTCTGTTTCCCCTGTTGTCAGGTCACATACAAAATATGTTGTTTTAATGATATAATAACCATGTCGCTTTTATGACATATGCTGTTATTATAAGAAATTACATCATTTAATGACTCATTATCTCATTATTTTTAAAGAACATTGTTTTAATGACATCTCGTTATTACGAGAAAATGTGTCATTTTTAACAAAAACAAAAAATACTGATTTAATGATGTAACATCTCATTATTATGAGAAGATATAGTGTTTTAACAAAACATCTCATTACTATGACATAATTGAGTGGAAAAAATATGTGGCAGCAATGTGACAGTAGTTTTTTATAATATATAAACTGTAGAATATATACATTTATATATATATAATATATAAACATCAAGTTTTGAGTATATATATATATATATATATAAAATTACTGTTTCTTACAGTGCATTTGATCAATTAAATACAGCCTTGATAAGCCTGAGAGACTTTTTTTCTATATATTCCATATATAAAACTATGGAATAGTTATCTGCAGAACCCAAAACATTCTTTGTATACTTAAATTTGACGGAATGCGTTAACTATAAAAAAATATATATTAATCGTAAATTATTTATATTGAAATTTTGAGTCTATTAACTGTCCTGCTTTCATTTCATCAGTCTTTGTCTGTTTAGTTTAAGTACTGATACTGACATACTTGTGAATAACCATTTCCAATTGGGAAGGCCGAGAAATATTAGTTCTGTAAATGAGGGTTTAATTTCTTTGCACACTGACTGACTTGTTATTCATTCCAGGCAAGCTGAAAGAGTGGTCTCTGATACTTTATGGCACCTCCGTGCATCCGTACTCATTCCGCAGTGACAAGCCTCGCTCACTGGCGGAGCCTCAGCCTGATGACGAGTACAGTGAGGAGTATGTGGGTAAGTACTCTTTTGTAATTCTATTATGCTTCACTGCGTATCTGTGGAAACTGATCAGTTTCTGTTTTCTCACATAAGGCTTGTGCCACCCTGAGTGTGAGAACGGCTGTGAGGGTCCAGGGCCCCAGCAGTGCATCACTTGCCTCCACTACTTCCTCAAGTTCAAGAACAACACCAGGTACACAGCTTTTCACAACATCAGTACACATTAAACTATTTTTTTACTACTTTTTAAAAAATGTTGGTACTTGGTTCAATAACATAATGAGCTTTTTTTTTTTCTGGATGCATTAACTTATACAAACAATTATTAAAAAGGCATCTCGGGGTAGAACAAATATACAGATATTTGCACGAAACAAAAATATAAAATGAAATTATATCACATATCCTTGCAGACCCTCATGACTGTAGGACTGTAGGTCTCTTAAAATATCAGATCATTTCATATTTTTATGACATGACAAGATTAGTTCAGGTTGAACTAGAATTAATTAATAACTTATTTGTAAATAATTAATGCTATTTGTAAAAAAATATATATTAATATTTTTACCTTTAAAATATGCTTAATTTAGAAACCTATATTTAATCAATATTTATTTATGTAATAAGATAAGATTAGTAATAAGATATTTTTAGTCATTAAATTTGAACTTTTTATATGAAAATCTAATTTGTTTTTAAAACATACTCTACTGTTCAAAAGTTTAGCGGCAGTACAATTTTTACATTACAATAATACTTTTATTTAGCAAAGATGCATCATCATAAGTGACAGTTATAATGTTTATACCATTTAAAATGTTACAAAAGATTTCTATTTCAAAGAAATGCTGTTCTTTTGAATGGTGATATTGAATTGTATTACCGTTTCCACAAAAATACAAAGCTTATTATCATCAAAGTTTTCAACATTGATGATAATAAGAAAGCAAATCAGCATATTAGAGTGATTTCTGAAGGATCATGTGACACTGAAGACTGGAGTAATAATGCTGAAAATTCAGCTTTCCATCACAGGAATAAATTATATTTGAAAATATATTAAAATAGAAAACAGTTATTTTAAATTATAATAATGTTTCACAATATTACCATTTTTACTGTATTTTTTTTTATTGTTTTGGATCAAATAAATGAGAAAAGAGAATCTCACCGACCCCGAACATTTGAACAGTAGTGTATGAGAGCAGCATGGATACATGAGGACATTTCTAAGAACTTGGCACATTTCTCATTGACCTTGGCGCGAAACTCAAATCAGTATTAAATGTCCATGTATTCATTTGTTTGGTATGTAGCCTTATAATGAACCGGCTGTACAGCAAGTCAGTCATTGCAAAATAAACTCCCTACAGGGTGATACAATACCCCAACATGAAACATGTGCATTGCATAACATAATTAGAGCAACTAAAGAATTTAGAGAAAGAGAAAGTTTTTAATACATTTGCAGAAAGGTTGTATTATTGAAAGTACTCTTTTTTTTTTTTTTTTTTTTTTTTTTTTTTTTTTTTTTTTTTTTTTTATTATTGAAAATCATTTTACTTGGAGTCAAAAGATAAATTAACTTCTATAAAAACACAAAAGCACATGCTGACAACAGCTGTGTGTCTGCGTGGCCCTGCTAACATCTCACATCTATCCAGACACTCTGTGTGTGTGCACTTGTCATGATTACATTTATTGATTTTGTGTTCTCCGGCATCCCAAGTTACACAAGCCGCGTTCACATCTGGAGCTGACGGCTTTCTCAGACTGACTTCTGCCTTTGTTTCCTGGTGAAAGTCTTTCCTCACGGCTGCCAGATGTTGATTTTTCTGGTCTCATGTGGCTCTTCCTGTCTGTGTCTGTCTCTCTCCTTTTCTCTTTCCACCTCCGTCTGTCTGTCTCTCAGGATGTGTGTACCTGAGTGTCCGACTGGGTTTTTCCGGGACGATAAGAAGCGCTGTAAGAAGTGCTCTCCGCTGTGCGAGTCCTGCATCGGCAGCCGCAGTGATCAGTGTTCAACCTGCCGCTCGGGTCTGTTCCTTGTGGAGGGAGGAAACAACTGCGCCAGCTCCTGTCCTGATGGCTTCTACCTGGACCTGGGCAAGTCACACTTCATCTCACTCCAGAAAACCTCACATGCTGTTTGGCTGTGAATTGTGTTGAATTTGAGACCTCATGTGGCTGTTCTCTCGCAGACTCCACCATGTGCTGGAAATGCACCGAGAATTGCAAGAAATGCACATCTGCGAACATCTGCACAGAATGCCAGACTGGTCTCAGGTAATTCAGTCCATTGCAAATACATTATTTGACCTCCGACATGTTTTTTTGAGCCAGTATATGAAATATAGTCAGAATCTTGGACTAAAACTTTCCTACGATCTTCATTGAGAGATGTCAAAATAAAGCCACGCTGACTAAATGCTGAATTATCACTGGAAACATCCTGTTACACACGTTGTATCTCTTGAGTTTAGATGTATGTTGAAATACTGTCTCTAGTGAGCGATTTTGCTTGGGCTTTTCCTACTCCTCTCTGACGTTAGATAAAGAGGTGGAAAAACAGAGAGAGAAAAGAAAAACAGGTCATGGCACAAAATCTGGCGTAATAAGCAGCAGCTGTTCTGTGAATGGTTTTGAAATATTCTCTGAATATACGTAAAGTTTTTTTCACCCACTAGTTTGGACTTTAATCCGTCGTTGTTGATCTTTTTAGACTTGTTTAGACTACAGAAGGTATGAAGCTGGATGGCAGGGCTAGAGTGCAGATGAAATGAATTTTTCTGCCCGCAGTTTCTCTCCGTTTAAGGTTGCAATTACAGTCTTTGTAATTATTCATTTGACTTGTCATTCATTGCAGTTTTCGGGGAAACTTTATTAGTCTACTGCATGAGTTAGATGGTGGGCCTTCCCTCTGAGAGAAAAAAAACCTAGCATAATTTGATAAAAATTGTGATTAAAAAACAGCAGATCTACAATGTTGCACGCCAACCATTTTGAGAGGTATTTCCTCACATATGATTTTATCAACCATTTATTTTTGCAGTGTTGAAACTGGCAAAGAATATGTTAATTTAGTCCAATTAATAAAAAATAAAAAAAAGTCTAAAACCCACACAGAAATTCCATAAGTTTTTTTTTTTTTAAATAATTCAATAAAATGAGAATTGAATTTTCTTCAGGGTTAAATTTTTACACCAATAAATTTGCATAAATTCTATTCGCGATTAAAGTTTTTTTAAATTATTTTTTTTATAACAAATTTTCTACACAATAAAATATTTTAGAGCTTGATATAACTAGAAAAAATACTTTATACTAATACTTTAAATGCGCTTTTATCCAGGTTTTCCAAGACCTCAGGAATCCTGGTTCTTGAAAAGACTGTTGTTGATGAAATCAGAAATATGATGCCAGTTTACAGTCTTGATTTTTTTTTTTTTTTTAGGTTTTAGCTTATTTTATTGCTAGTCATCTTGTGGCCCTCTTGGAAGTTTGCTGAGGCCTCTAGTGGGTCCAATGGCTAAATGTTTTGTGTTTTTCCTGCTCCTGCTGTCATCATTATTATGATTTTGCACAACAACGATAATATTCATTTTCATGGGTTTTTACTTCGTAAATTTACTATCCTCTTCCCCTTATATGCTCTGGCGCCCCCTATGGAGGCTCATCTCACGGTTTTAAAACGGTGACGTGAAACATGAGTGTGTAAAAAAAAAAAGTGTCTTGTGGCTCAGTCTCAGCGTTGAACCCCTTTGAATAATTCCCTCATCCATTCTGTCTCTTCCTCTTTCTTTGCTTCTGTCTGTCTTTTCCTGCTAGTCTACAGGGGAATAAGTGTCAGCTGAGCTGTGAACCTAGCACCTATTATAATGGGCATCGGCGGGCATGTGAAAAGTGCCACTCGACTTGTGCCACCTGTGCAGGTAAACACTTTACCTGTATTTATAGTACTTTATTTTCCATTTAGGTTTGCATTAGGCTTTGATCATGATATTTGGCTTAAAAGCAATTTATAAAATATAACTTCCAGTAGTTGTTTTTTATGTTCTTTTGGAGAGATCACTGATTGGCTATTCTGTTCTTTTATTTTTTAAATGCATATACGCCCCTTTTAAAACGCCCCTAAAATGTCAAGAGGATATATCCATCCTGGGCACAAAAAAGATGCACAGTATGATGCCATTTTGAAGTTCTAGACTTAACAAGACTGTGAAGTGCCTTCTGAGACTATTACGTCAATGCTGTTCTCTCCAGTGTCCAGAAATTACAACAAATTACTAAGGCTTCGCAGAACAACCAGTGCTTAGCTTCTGAATATACTGTAGTTTATCCAGCACAATTACTGTTGCTAGCTCAGATTCTGCCCCAGATTTTAATAACAGTTGATATATGCACACGTGTACACTTATGATGATCACATTTGTTCAAACTATCTTTATTGTAACGACTCCCTTCTAATTCTCAAAGAATTACTGGTCACAAAAAGCTTTTCTTGTTCAAGTCATTAGGGTGAATTAAAGTTATTTTGGGGAGTGCAATAGTTTGGTAATTAAAGTAAAAAACACAGTTGTAAAGGACCTTTTGAGTCGACTCTTAATCCAAGGAAGCACATAAGAAAAAAATGTCATGATTTGGTAAATTAAATCACAAGTATGATACAGAAAGTCAAAATTATGAGGTACTAAGTCATAATAATGAAATAAAACATCCAAATTGTGAGATAAAAAGTAAAAATTGACATACTAAGTGATAATCATGAGACATTGAATTTGACATACTGTGTCATTGAGATAAAAAGTCTAAATTAAGATTTATTAATCTCATAATTATGATTTAGTGTTATGATTTTGACTTATTTCATAATCATTTATGGGTTTTTGTCCATTTTTACTTCAGTTTTAACTATCTCTTAATTATGAGTTACCTGGAAAGTCATAATTTTGACTCATTTCATAGTTTTGTCATACTTCTGACTTGTTTCAAGCTTTATCTCATAATTGACTTAGTAGCTCTTAATTTTGAGTTGTCAGTTTTTTTGTCATAATTTTGACTTGTTACTTTAAGCTTCATCACATAATCATGACTTAGTATGTCATAATTTTGATTTATGTCCATCTTTGTCATAATTTCAACTTGTCAATTTCAACTTTATCTCATCATTTTGACTTGTCAGTTTTTGTTGTAATTTTGACTTTTCTATTTTAACTTTATCATAATTATGACTTCGTATGCCAGTTTTGACTTATGCTAGAGTTATGTCATCATTTTGACTTATGTCATTTTCAACTTTATCTCATAATTTTAAATGAGTATCTCATACTGATTATGTTTGTATATGGCAGAAATGGGTTTCCATACAATTGTGAACAGCTCAGAGAATCAATTCTTTTTGGTATTAGCTCCCATCCGTAATGATGCCTTTTAAGATTAGTCTCCCTACAAGCAATAAGTTATTTGTGTTTTTGTAACTCATACGCTATTGCCAGTGGCTTCCAAGCATTCTCAGAGGAAGCCCTTTCAGGACGAACTTTTCTAAGTGTGTACATTCCAAAGTGTATCAATTCAAATGATTTGCAGTCTGGCTTTTTGGGAACATGCTGGTATTCCCTGTGCACAGGAACTGGCATGGAAGCGTGTAATGAGTGCGCTCCGGGCTATTACTTTGAGGACTGGCGCTGCGTCTCCAGCTGCAGTGTGGGATATTACTTGGCAGAACAAACGACAGACAACGGAGATGTCCAAAAGTCTTGTCAAAAGTCAGTATTTCACTGCTAAACATGACATCTGAGAAAGTGTTTACGTTTAAAGCGGTAATGATGCATCACGGCTGTGATTGTGCCTGCAGGTGTGATCCTACCTGCTACGCCTGCGCAGGACCGGGGGAGAGGAACTGCAGCACCTGCGTGAGCGGCTATAACCTGGAAAACGGCGTGTGTGTCGTCAGCACCATCTGCAAAGATGGTGAGTACTGTTGATTCTTCCATGCTAGCTTTTGGTTAGCTCCTTAATTCAGTGTTTTCTTTCCTCCGGATTCTGATCTGAATCTTTTGTGCAACAAAATATTTTAGTTTTTTTTGCATGGGGTTGAATCATGGTCTGTTTATTGTTTTGTTTTTCTGATGTTGATGTGTCTAGGTCACATTTCACCCCAAAATAGAAAGAAAATTATATTTTACAAATACCTTTTTGTTTCTTTTCAAAATTTTCAAAAGCAAGTACATTTACATTTTTTTGAAGGAAGTCTCTTATGCTCACCAAGGCTGCATTTATTTGATCAGAAACAGTAAAAACAGTAATATTGTGAAATATTATTAATATTTAAAAGAACTAAAAAAAAAGTTGGGAAAAGTCTTGTGAGAGAAAAATATCACAATTACCATTTATATTTATTTATTTATTTTTTACTCCCACGGCGGAAACAAACTTCTATAGAAAACAGTTGTGCTACCTAATATTTTTGTGAAAATCATGATAATTTTTTCAGGATTTTTTAATGAATTGAAAGTTCAAAAGCATTTATTTGAAATATAATATATTTTGTAATAATGTAAAAATCTTTTCTATCGTGTCTGATCAATTTAATGCATCCATGGGGAATAAAAGCATTAATTTCTTCAAGAAAGTAAGTTTAGTGACCCTGAACTTTTGAACGGTAATATAATTTTCATGATTCTCAGTAGTGATTCTCATTATATCATGATTATTGTAATATGTTTTTATTATATTTTTTTAAAGGAACTACAAAGAATACCATCGTGATGTGTAAATTCATTGCAAAATAAAAAAAATTATGGAAATAATCTAGAAAAAATTATGCAAAATATAATTTTTTGAAAACTTTCCTCTGATTTTGAGGTGAGATGTGGCCAAATATTTCAGGCTCATTTATTTTCAAAGAATGCTTGTGAATTTGACGAACCTTGAGATCAAAATGGGCTACATTTTTACGGTGGAGCGTAATGTCTGCTTTTTCTAGCAAATGAAAACAAAGTTACACTGTCAACCTGTGACTCTGTAAAAATGATTTTTTTTGATCACTTTCTAAATGTTTGTTCTCCTTTTCTTCCTGATGATCTTTCCTTCAAATCTTTTCATCCTGGATTCCAATCACACCTGGATATCCTCCTCCGTCGAACAATCAACTGGATTATAAAAAAAATAAAAATAAACCCAACACAACATCATTTCCTGTCCGCCGCCCATTTGTGTGCTGCCTCTCTGCTCCTCTCTCCTCTTCCTGCTCTCCGGAAAGCAAATGAAGAATCGTGGGCTGAGGGAAGTTTCTGTGTGCTAGTGAAAAAGAACAATCTGTGCCAGAGGAAGGTTCTGCAGCAGCTCTGCTGTAGAACATGTTCTCTAAAGGGCTGAAGGAACTTTTCCGGCCCCACTTGCCCCTCACGGTCCGCTAATTTATATTCCAGTCGGGAACCTCGAATATGGGACTACATCGTGAGGTTTCCCGATGCCAGAACTACAACAAACCTACCTTTATCTCTGTGTGTCTGTATGTGTGTGTGTGTGCGTGCGTATGTGTGAGTGTGTCGACAGAAGCTGTCAGGGTGGTGCGACTGGGATCAGTAATAAACAGCAAATCATACATGTCAGTATTTTGTGACCAAAGCATGGATGCCAAATTTTTTGTACCTTTTTCTTCGTTTTGGGTCCAAGAGAAGAATTTGGAGCCGATTTATAAATGGTCATAGTTCAAATGAGTTGTTTTGTGGATGGGATTGTCCAACCACTTCATACTAATTGTGTATTCATGACACACACAAAAAAAGTTGTAGTATGATTGTACGTTTTCTGCGAACTCAATACATGCAACGTTACATAACTAATGTTATATAGGATTACGAGAATCAGTCTATGTTCAGATGTGTTACATTTACTCTGTTCTGGCAACGTTATTTCTTAATGTATATATGTATTTTTATCACTATTAACCTTAAATATATTTTGCACCCACGTTCAATTGAAATAAGGGGGAAATGGATGATCAAGTTTTCAAAAATTATTTATATTTCTTTTTTTAGCCAACCGCCATGACCAGTTAGTCTAGATTGAAGGTGTGTTGTAGTCAGGGCCAAGAAAAATGTTTTATCATGTAGAGAAGACTGGACGAAACAAATGGTTTACTGATCTTTTTATTAATGAACTTTAAAATAAAAACAAAACTCCGAGATTAAATGAGACTACTTTTGTTTACTCGTTTAGATGCTGGGCTTATCATTTTCACTTGGTGGATAAATTGGGCGAAACAGTCACATAGACTTGCACAGAAGGAGTGACCCGAGTCATATATAGAGTTCAGAAAGTCATAGAGCTCTTTTGACCTGGATCCGTATAGAACCACCCTAGCAACCACATAGCAACACGCTAAATTCGACTAAAAACCCTAGTGTTTTGGTGGCCAGTTTTTCACTGACGAGCAGCACTCACATATTCATCATAAAAATCTAGTGTTGTCAAACTGCTTGTTTATTTTGACTTCAAGAAATATTGTTTAGAGTTAAATTCTTGAGGTGAACTGGTGTGAGAATGATTCAACCTCTCCTTGTTTTCTTTACAAAAGGCCCTTTTTGTTTTGAAGAGAACAATTCGGCATTTGACCGAGAGAAATTCAACTCAAATGCGCAGTGGTCACACTGACTTTAAAAGAGACGATATATGCGCAGCCCCTTGTTCTGACCTGTGGCCGTTTCCTTAAGAACGAACATTTCTAAAAATATTTGCAGCTTCCACACAACCAATGTCACTTTCTTGTGATGAATAACATGATAAAGCCATTATTATTGACACATGCTGTTTTAAATGTTACAATCCTGTGTCAAATATCAAAGTGATTCTTAAGCATTTTTGCAGTTTAATGCAAGCAGTTTGAGTGAGAAAACTAATTTAACTGACATTGGCTTTGGACCAGTGTTTCTATAAGTCTACTGATTGACAACTCAATTACAGTCATGTAGGGTCATGAGCGTTTGCTTCAGGACTGTCAGAACTGAGTGAATAGAGTGTATCAGAGCGTAAGCCTGAGGTCGTCAGAAGGGTCAGTCGGCCATAGACGTCCAGCTCACTCTAAAGGAAATCTCACAAATACATTGCTAAGCCTGGGGTTAAAGGTTAGCTCAATGTATTTAGCTCTTCTCACATTCCCATAGCATCGCTTTGGGATAGTTTTGGTCCATTCTGACACCTAGAGAGTGAAATATGTTTTGGTTATACTAACACAGGTATCAGGCTTGGTTAAAGTAATTTGACTGTGTATGTGCAAGACTTTTTTTTTTTTTTTTTTTAATTTAAGTTTTTTGCAATTTTCTTTTTTCTAAGGCCTGCTGATTGTATGAGAGCATTCTTCACGACCTTTCTTGCTTCTTTTGAGAGTGTTCTGATTTATGAATCCTGCATGTTTATGGCCTTTGAATTGTCCACAATCATAAACGTCAGCTGGTCAGTTCTTCAACCAGAAGCCTTTTTTTATTAATGCTAAAGCTGAACAGGTAAGCACCTTGGTTTCCCTCTCTTTTGTGTGTGTGTGTGTGTGTGTGTATGTATGTGTGTATATATATATATATATATATACATATATATGTGTATATATGTATGTGTTCTTGTTTGCTTGTTTTTTTGTTTGTATTTTTTTAACTTGTTTCCATGTATTTGTTTTTGTTTGTTTCATTTGCATGTTTCTTTTTTGCTTGTTTGTATTTGTTTAATCTACTTGTTTGCTTGTTTTGTTTTCTTGTTTCGTTTGATTGCTTGTTCGTATGTATGTTTTGTTTGCTTGTTTGCATGTATTTGTTTAATCTGCTTGTATATTTAATTTGCTTGTTTCATTTGCTGTTTGTTTGCTTGTTTCATTTGCTCACTTGTTTGTATTTATTTAGTTTTGTTTGCTTGTTTTGTTTGCATGTTTGATTTTGTTTTGTTTGCTTGTTTGTATGTATTTGTATACTCTGCTTTTTTGTTTGTTTGTTTGCTTGTTGCATTTGCTTGCTTGAATGTGTTTTTGTTTGCTTGCTTTGTTAGCATGTTTACTTTTCTTGTTTCGTTTGTTTGTTTGCTTGTTTGTTTTGTTTGCTTATTTGTATTTATTTAATCAGCTTGTTTGTTTTACTTGATTGTTTGTTTTGTTTGTATTTTCCTACTTTTTTCTAACTGTGCCTTCAGGGAAATTTGAGTTATTTCTGATGCTACATACATAAATATACTAATATAATAAACAACATGAACCATTGGATTATTTACCAACAAAGCATGGAAGAACTGCTAATAAAGTTTTAGTGTCTACCTACACTAGATGAAGTGGGATATTCTAGTTATGGATCTTTATGTAGCTTATATGTTATCTGTATTTTTTTTGTCAGGGGAGTATTTAAGCGAAGCTGAAAAATGTGAACTGTGTTCCTCAACCTGCTCAAAGTGCACTGGACCTGAGAGTAAAGACTGCATCAGCTGCCCGTACACCAGGTGAAGTGTGAACAAATCACTTGTTTCTCACAGCACCACAGTCAAATAAAGTCACAGTGAGACAAGATGTGCACTGTGTGGGGAGAGATTTCAGTCTTTATTCTTTGGCAGGCTTTTTGATAATGGGACATGTGTGATCCGCTGTGATCCTGGGAAGTATGAAAGGGATGGACAGTGTCATCTTTGCCACCACACATGCCTCGAATGTACTGACGGGGCGCCTGACAAATGTACTGGCTGTAGCAAAGGTAAACGGAGTCATGACTGCCTCACATAACAGAGAAAAATACAAACTTTTATTGTAATTCTTACTCTGTTTCTGTTTTCACACAGATAGGTTTGGAGTGGAGCGGTACCTCTTTGAAGGGGAGTGTCGTGAAAGCTGTCCAAAGGGCTATTCCCATTCCTCGAAGGGAACATGTGACCCCTGCCCTCCAAATTGCACTGTGTGTACTTCATCAGGTCACTGTCTCCACTGCACCCCGTCCTACTACCCCAAAGACAGGACGTGTGCCAAACTGGAGTGTGGAGTGGGTCAGTTGCATCAAAACTGTTCTACAATGTTCTCGATTGCTTGCTTGGCGTTTCTTTTTTCTGATGTCAGGATTCTGGTTAGGTTTTTTTTGGAATGTGAGTGAGGTTTATTTGAAAATTCTTCTGAAAATCAAATTAGTGGTTGAGCTGTAGGCCCAGTGTTAAAAACACATCGTCATTGCCAAAAGGTTTTTGTTTGCTTTTTTTGCCAGTATTTTTCACCATAATGTTTCCAATGGATGAATCTCACAAAACCGGTCAAGAAATGACCATATAATATTTTTGATATATGATTATGATAATGTGTTTACATCATGATAGCATTTGTGGTGCTGCTTTTTTTGCATCAAAATGCATCAACAAACAGTAAAAAAGATAAAATAAAGTAAAAACTGTAATATTGTGAAATATTATAATTTAAAAGATTTACAATTTAAAAAATATACAATTTAATTAAAATGTACAATTTAAAAAACTTTTCTAATTGAATATATTTTAAAATGTAATTTATTCCTGTGATGCAAAGCTGAATTTTCAGCATCATTACTCCAGTCTTCAGTGTCACATGATCCTTCAGAAAACATTTCTTATTATCAATGTTGAAAACAGTTGTGCTGATTAATATTATGTGGAATTTGTGACAATGTTTCTTCAGGATTCTTTAATGAATAGAAATTTTATAAGAACAACATCTTTTTTTAAATAGTCTTCACTTTCATTTTTACTGTCATCACTATCATCATTTTTATTTAATGAATCCTTGCTGAATAAAAGTATTAATTTATATAAAAAAAGTAAAATCCTACTGACCCCATACTTTTGAACAGTACTAACACAGTAGTTGTAACAGTAAAACACAGTATATTGTGATAAAGTAAAAAAAAAAAAAAAAAAGTTATGATTTAATGAATCTATTAAGTCATGAATCTATTGAGAGTCATCATGAAAAAAATTACAGGAAGTAAAAAGGGGTTAATGTACTTAATTGTCATGAAAATAGTGTGACAACATGCTAATGCACCTAAAAGTAGAAGAAAATGTACTTTTTTCTTTTGATTTTGCAGTGCAGTTTGACAAGGACCTGTTTTCATGAGATTTCACCCCACTAGACAGAAGTTCTTCTCTCTCGTTTTGTGTGCTGTGCTACTTGCATATCTGTAAATCGAACTCTATGGATGTTGTTTGGCTTCTCACGACACCCACTGCTGTTTATCTAATCTTCTTCACAAATTGTTATCACAGTCAGAGATGAGCTGAGCATGAGGGAAGAGCTTGTCTGCAGAAGTCAGACTGAAATAGCACCAGAAATGAGACCGTGGGGGAACAGAAATTCTTATCATTAGTGGCAGACATGTATAAACGGATCCTGTGCTCTGGCCTCCAGGGCTCCCACACACTACTGTGTGCACACACGCAGCCTCTGTATGCTCTTTCCTGTCGTTTTAGACTCGCGCACACTCTCGGTCTTATTATACATGCTAATACAGACATTATCTAGTTTTTATGTACATCTATATCGTGCATTTTCTTTTTCCATGTTAGCGACACTATGAAAGTACTGACTCCTGGTGCGATGCTTGTTCTTCTGTAGGTGAAGTAGTCGACCTTGATCGTGAAGACTGTGTACCCTGTGAGGAGGGCTGTCAGCATTGCCTTACCGGTCAGTATATCATTAT